TGTGGTTTTCTTGGAATTGTTATTGGAAAAAATGAAATATAGCTATATTTTTCAACTACAAATAGGATTCATAATCCTATTTATAATCAGAAAATAACGCACAGAACACATAAATTTACGTGAAACACCTTTTTTAGAGTTATTTCTCTTCTTCTCACTTTGTATATTGTGTTGAGAACATAAAATGAGTGTGTGAATCAAACCCAAATCTGAAACGTCTACTCGTTCATTCCTTGTAATCAGAGATACATCGAGAAAGAATTGTGGAGCTTTTGAGAGGTTCAATATTTACATCCTAGACGATCGTCGGTATCATTTTAATTTATTCCTTACTGATATGTCGCTTAAGTTAATATGTGTATTGTTTGATTAAAAAGAAAAAAAATCTTACAATGTGATTGTTCTTACTTCTGCTTATTTTTCTTAAAAATAGTTTCCAAAACCAACATTTTATACTACGTGCACGCGTGTATATGGGGTTTAGAAAACAAAGAATTATAGAAAAATAATAATAATTTTGTTAATGTGTTGGTGTGATATTGAAATTGGAGAAAGTTTTATCTAAACCTCGTGTTTCTCGTAGGGATGTCAATTAGCAGTTTGCAGTTGCTTGACACAGGCAACTTTTAATTTTTATTTAATTTTTTTTTTTGGATCAATTCACAAGGACCATTCGAAAATGACATGTGACACGGTGTGGCTCAACGAGCTACACGAGCAGGCTCGGACTCGAGCCCGGGTCGATGCCACAAAATGGGGCTTGGCCCAAGCCTTTGCTTGGTTGAATCGAGCCAAGATCAGGGATGGCTCGTGCTTTTTCTAGGCTAAACCACGGGTCGCCTAACCCGACAAGCCAAATTGACACCTCTAATCTCTCGCATGCAAAGTCAGTGCTCTACCATTTGAGCTACATCCCCTGATTGACATTACTAGTAACTCTAACACAATTACCAGGACTCAACACACTCCACATCGCAACAATTCGTGTTGATTATGTGCCATGGGGA